GACTTTGGGTAGCAATGTGAGATTTGACCATACTTTCAAGAGCAATAGACTGATTGAGCCTCATTATATACACAAATTCTTCAGCGTACCACATAACAAAGACTCCCATGACCCAAAAATTAAAAAATAAACAAAAACCCGATGACAGTTTTAAGCTTGCAGAAGCTAACATGCCACACCAATTGAATTTTCAGACTGAACACTGTCTCACAACATGCTCTTTCAATGGGAATGGCATAAGACATAAACAATTGATATCTTTCTACCACTGCTGTGTATAACACCGAGAATAAAAAACTAGAGACGAATTTTTTCTTGCAACACTACCAACTGCATTTCCTGCGTATATGGTACCAAAGAAGGACAACCAAGCTTATGAGAGATAAATGGGATTACCTGTAGCAAGGACTGGATCTAGAAGCAGGACATGACGTTCTGAAATATCCGTTGGAAGTTTCTCGTAAATAAGCTGTTTAAGTTGGAATAGCTCGGTTATACACAACTTTTATAAGGTTTGAGAGGGAGGAGATAGCTATTGATCAAATTTTCTCCTTTAAAAACAAGGTACCTGCTTTCCATTGTCTCCATCACGGTGAATCAGAATCTTTCCAATCTTTATTCCCTTGCAACATGCACGTAATGCATTTTCCATGCTCTCACCACTGACATAATAAACAAGGAAAGGTTGTCGGCATAGACAAAGGACTGCCGGATAAATAAAACTTCTAAAATTCAATACCTGATTTAAAGCTCACCTTCGAACAATTGAAACCCCACACAGTTTCTTGCAGAAATCCACCCCGGTATATACTGATGCTGGTATATAATAAAAGCAAAATTTCAAAGACATGCAAAATATTCCTCATTTTCAGGCTATAGTTCCGATGATGCAAATTAAATATGAATCCATGTTTGTGCGAGATTTATATCCATTTATTCAAAATAGCATATATAAAAAATTCAAAATACACCCTACCCCCTAAAGGAAATCCAAAATTATCCCCATGCCGAACCGAACAGGTCACAATCAAGTTATGAAACGAGTATGGGTAAGGAAAGATGAAATTGTAGACATGTAATCAGCACACCTGTTGGAGTTACTACTTGCTTCTCTGTGAATGGCAAATGGCCAAGGCCATGCTCCACAACCTGGAGGCCACATCAGAGTATAAGAAAATATAAGCACAACTCTTGTAGATATATGAAATTTAAATTAGGCATGGAATAAAAATTACCAGACGTATTAGCCGATCTGAATAAAATACAAAATCATGCTTCGATATTTCTCGGTCTCGAATCAGTGTATGCATACCTCTAATCTGAAAAATGACAACAACTAGATTAAAGACTAAAGAGATGAAAGTGAACAAATAGTCATCTAAGTGCCGACTGGTGGGAAAAGCTTTAAGGTTACAAGTCCATCATAATGCAAATTATATGCTCAAATTACTTGGGTCAGTCAACCAAGAAATCTGATTTGTAATGCTTTTCAGAGCTGAAAATTAAAATACTTGAGAAGAACACAAAACGTGCTCAGAAAATGCAGTTTAGAAAGTTTCTGAGTTATAAAAACAAGACCCGTACTCAACTAAACTAAAAACAAGAGCCGCATAACTGAATTTGGCAAATCATTTGTACTCATGAGTTGTGGAATCAACAATCAAAGCCAAATACCAAATTCCTAATTCCCTAAAGACAGAAGGTGAACAATATGTCTATATAAAAACAAATCACACGAACACATATTGCATACCTGAAATGTTGACTGAATAACGTACACATTAGGATATATTTTGCAGAGATCATGCTGACCAAGCTTTGTGCGAATATGTTGCACAATCAAATCAATGGCAACATGATTATCACCCCCACGGGGAATGATCACATCAGCATACTTCTTTGATGGGTGAATAAAATCATCAAAAGCAGGTTTGACGAACTTGGCATACTGCACAATACATAATGCCTCAGTGTGATTTTAGGAATGGAAATAATACAGTCTCAGCAGAGTTACAAAAGAAACTATAAAAAGCCACTCTTGTCTTACCCAGCTCTACAAAAAAAATTATCCCAACTCCTGTGAAAAGAAAAATAAGCCAAGCTCAAATTGGGTCTTACCATTTCAAGAACAGAGTTAATGTCCCTGCCCCTCTCAACTGTGTCTCGTCTTATTCTACGAGCAAGCCTCACATCAGCATCTATTAACATATGGTAAAAAGTAAAATAAATATTGAGAGAGAGAGAGAGACAGCATAACCAAAAAAAGGTTAAGACCTCCTCCTCACACACATACAGAGACTGGCCAATAAGAGGAAAATTCCATATCAAGACCGCAAGTAACGCTCAAATTTCCATATCAAGTCCGCAACTAACGCTCATACTAACATGCCATGCAAAACAAAACTATGGAAATCTAAAAGATGTGATCACCATATAGGGCAGTTATTGCACAATAAATAAGATGAAAACGACAAGAATTACACAAAAGAGATCAGACCTGTATCAACAAAAATCTTAATGTTCATTAGATTGCGGACACGTTGGTCATGGAACACCAGAATTCCTTCCAAGATTATTACATCAGAAGCATTCACCTGATAAAACAGTACACCAAATGCCAGAAAAGGGAAGAGAAACGACAATTACGAATCAAAATTGTCCTTGAGAAGAGCCATAACGGTAGCAATAGAAACAATAATAGAAGTATATAAGAAGAATATTAATAATAAACAATAAATAGTATAGCGTAATCAAGTAAGCTATTACATGCAAAAATAGCTAAATACTCGTAAGGAAGAAAAGGGAGGAAAACACGTAAATGATTTGAGTACCTGCCGGAAACTATCAGAACTTCGTCTATGTATCTTAAAATCATAAATCGGAACTTGGACAGATTGCCCGTTCTTTAGCTTTTGAACGCAATCCAAGAGTTGTTCGGTGTCAAAAGCGTCTTAAAAAACAAAACCAATAGATAATCAGTAAACTATATGAATAATGTTCCTATAGATATAGAAAAGAACCCAAACAAAACATGATCTGTCACTACATAACTGCCAGATATGCACAGTATACCATAGCACACAACCTAATTCCTTAGCTAAAATCAACAACACAAAAGTGAATTTGAATTTCAACAGTAAAATGATTACCAGGGTGATCAAAATTATACTCATGCACTCGTTCCGATTCCTCGGGTGTCAAACCTCGATAAAATGAATCCTACAAAATGTCCAAATCAAACTAATCAAAGAATTATACTAATTATATAGCTTTAATCAACTAACAACAGAAAATCGTGCATGCAGAGAAAGTAAGCAACGAGAAGGAGCTTCACCAAGCCCTAACCTGATTGACAAGTACGACACGATGATCGTGAAGCTGCTGGATGATCATGTCGCACACCGTCGTCTTACCGGAAGCCGTACCTCCCGAAACACCTAATCAATCACCGAAACGCCAACGAAATTGAAATTAAAATTTAAGAAATTGAAATTGAAGGAATTGAAATGCAGTTGCAGCGGAGACTGAATCGCATCGGATCAACGAAATGCAAATTGAGATTAAAACGAAGAGCGAGGGGGTGAGAGTACCGATGACGAATGGCTGCTTGGGGGCGTTGGGGTCGGCTGCGACGTTGGAGGCGGCGGCCGGAGACGAGGAAGGCGACGGAGAGGAGAGGATGCCGTCGAGCCGGAGCCCCGAGAAGTGGGGACCAGATGCTTTCTCCATCACATAGTCAATCGCCGTCGCGTCCTCCGGCATGGTTTTCCACTCTCTCTCTCTCGCTCTCGCTCTCGATCTCTGGTTTCGGGTTTCGGAGTGAATTTTGGTAAAGAACGACACGACGCTGCAGTTTAAGTGAAAAATTATGTTAAAGAGTTTCAGTTGGATAGAGGAGATTCTGCCGTTTCGTCACGATTTGTCCGGGCGCACAAGATTCGCGCTTTCATTTTCATTTTTATGATTATTTTTTATAAATGAAAATATTGTTTTTTATATTAAATAAAAAATAAATAAGACAACCGATGGCAAGTCACATTTATCGGCCTTTTTCAAGCCTGAAAAATCTATGGGGAAATTTCACCCTGTCCATGGCCACAGTTAAGAAGACTCACCAGCTCTCAGGATCTCTCATATTTTTTGTTTATTGGAGAGCCGCAGTCTAAATTTACCACTAAGTCAATTGTTGAAATTAAATGAAAATATTATTTTAATTTTTCTGATTTTGCGACAATTATTATTTTTATTTTTCTGGTCTTGGATAGGGAACACAGATCCTCTCCGGATTTGAGCTTAGGGATCAATAGATCCGGACCATTGAAATTTGATCCAACGGTTACAATTATTATAACTTTTAGAAAGGTTTCCTGTTTACAGCCGTTTGATCAAATTTCAATAATCTAAATCTATTGATTCCTAGACTCAGATCCAGAGAGGATCTGGATAGGCATCAAAATTCGGAATTGGATCCTCTCATGAGCCCAAGGATCTTGAACCGTTGGATTTTCATCCAACGACTATAATTATTATAACTTTAAAAAAATCCTCCTATTTGTAGCGTTGAATAAAAATCTAACGGTCCAAGATCCTTGTTAAGGAGGATCCTCTCATTGGGCTCAAGAGAGGATCCAATTCCTCAAAATTAATGGGTGACAAAAACTCTAATGACGTCATGATGGAAAGATTCGCTAGGGTCAAGACTATATAAATAAACGGCCAAGATCCCTGCTCAAAGAACACAAAACTTCAGATGAACGCTTCAAACGAGTGGTCAGTGCACATAAGACTTTGACTACTTAAGAGATTATACCTATACTAAAACCCCAACGACGTGGTACTGTTCACGGACAGTAAAGTGGCAAAAATGCCCTTGGCTGCTGCTGATTCTCAAGCTTTTTTCTCTGTTTTGAACATTGAATTTACATTTTTACCCCTGATGTCCACGTGTTGGTCATCGTGGAAAAGGAATTGACGGGTCGCAGTCTTCTTCTTTCTTTTCTGCTTCTCTCGAGTTTTCTTTCTCAGAAAGCTCTCAAGTTCAGTTCACTCGCGCTGTTCCTCCGCTTCTTCTTATCAAATGTCCAACGTTCGATCTTTCTATCGCCGATTATCCACTCCGGTTTTCTTCCCGGAAAACTCTCAAGTTCAGTTGATGCGTCGAATAGGTTTTCGTTGGTTTACCATTTGCTTTGCCTTTTGTCTGTCGGCAATCTCTGCTTCTCTCCATCTTGGTCTCGCCTTCATTTCGTCTGAAATCCTGTGTTTTTCGTTTTGCAAAATATTCATCGCAAAGACCGTCGTGTTCTTTTTTTGGGGGAGTTTGTTTGGGTTCTCTGTTTTGAGACAAGTTCTGCATCTCTGTAAATCGTTTCTCCCCATTTGTCATCGACTTTCCGACCAATTTTTGGTGTGGTCTGGGTGCGATCTTTGTTCAGATCATCGTAAAAAGAAATTTATTTAACTCAGGTAAGTTCTGCAACCCTTATATGAGAGTTGCTATTTCGAATTTGCATTGATTTGAACGAAACCCTAACAGTTTGATTTTATGCTGAGTTTTGGCAGTTTGTCGAGGCTTTGTCGGCTTTTGCGTTTGGTTTACTCCGCTGATAAATCTGAGATTTAACAGGAGTTCGAAGGCTACTGTTGGTTTGGGTATGTATTCCCTGCTTTCATTCCTTCCTAATTGTATATGGATTTCCTATTTAAATAAAGCAGGGAATTAATCGATTAATGCATGTTTTAATTCCATTATTCTTAATGTTTTAACAGCTTTGTTTATTATTGAGTTCTGTTGGTGAATCGACTTTTCTTTTATTGATAGCAGTGGTGTTTTGTACGTCAGGACATATGCTTATTCTCTGTGGTGTTCTAATTTGTTTAGTTAGCAATAGAATAAGTTTCTAATTTTTTAAGCAATTATGGTGAAATTGAATCCTTGCAACATGTGATGTGTGAAATGAATTGGTAAATTATTGTGTATGGAATAATATCAACACTGAATTGGAGTTATGTAATTTGCGATAATTTACCAATTCAGTGGTGCGTAGGGAAAATCAATCTGAGCTGTTGTGGAATTCCCTGACATTTTAGGATGAAATAGGCAGATACAGGTTTGGATTCATACAGTTTTGGAATGATTATTGTTTTGGTATCAATTTGAATTATCGTTTTTGTTTTCTATTTGACCAATTCATGATTTCTTTGGTTGATAAAAGAATGAAAGAAAAGAAAATACACAATTTTATCAGTTGTTATATAAAATTCATATTAAATTTGTGACTCCACTGTTATCATAATTTACAAAATTTTAGATGAAATCTGTTCCTGCTTGCTCAATCAATAAACAGTGGGGTGGCAGTCCTAATATGAAATAAGAAGCTTGGATTATTTGCCTTTGAGTTTTATCTAAAATTTTTGTGTCCTTGGTTATTAGTTTAATATGCTTTTGTTAATTTTTATAACTTATGTATGCTTTATAAATGTAGTTATCGAATGAGATTGTTCTCAAGCTATGATTGAAAAACATGTACAATGCTATTTATCTATAATTTTCTGATTAGTGCTAAACATAATCACTGTCTTCTTTTTGTATATGCAGGATGAAAAGAGATTCTTTGCAAGCATCACACAAAGGCCATTGTTTATTCCGTATGAAAACCACATGTTAATTCAGTTTTAATTGGTTTTTCATTTATTTAAAATAAAACATCTCAAATAATATATCCATTTCTGCATTCACTCTGTCACAATGTTGTTCTAGCGTCTATTTGTGTTTTTCAGGTTTTCCATTAAACTACAATATCGGTATTTGATTTTCGTATTTGATGAACTGTTGACCTCCCATTGGTTCTATTATAGAAACTTGCACCATTTTTACAGGTTCTATATAACAAACATATCTATATGTATTTTTTTATTTGATCGAATTGTTCTATTTTCAGATTTGTAGGCAATGATCTTTTACCAATTGTCTAGGAGCTTCCATAGGACCTGCTCTGTGCTGTTCCTTCGTGGTAACCTCCATTGGGGATGAAAAAACTGCAGACCACAGTGTAAGTCTCAAAAGGTTTCAGAAATTTTAAATCTTTTCATCACATGGTTTTCAAACTTTTTGTTATGTTTGAATTTTTATTCGGTTTCATATTCTAAGGAGTTCACTGTTGATTTGTCATTTTTGTTATATCAAATCATAAAGAACAGTTGCCTAGATGCAGTATTCATTTATTCTTAATCACAAATTTAATTTACTTTTGTAGGTTCACCTTTTTCCGAAAGAAAATTAATCTGAAAATCCAATTGAGGTATAAGTCCCTGCGTTTACTTAATGTTTATAATTCATCCTTCCCCACCCTGTATCCCAAATTACAATTGAAGGCTTCACGGTATGTACCAATGATTCAAGCTTTATTCCCTTTTTTTACCTAATATTTCAGGTTGACATTCAATCTTTACTAACATTTTTTCTCAGGGGAACTAGCTGTTACCAATCTAGATAATGACTGTCTTCTTTTGACTTAGTCTAGAATACAAGACTAATCCCTTCCCTGATCACTGAGGGGTTTACTTCAATATCTAAAAGTATTAGCCAAGACATTCCCATTACAGATTTACCCTGTTCACATGGCTTAATTCATCCAAAAAACATTTGGTAATAGAGAAATTGTTAAATTTATCCATATATCATTTTTATTGGTTATTGGCTCCATTTAACAATTCCTCTGTTTCTAAAGTCTTCTTTCATTTAGCTAAAGCATGTGAGACAAGTACATCTTTGGTGGGAACATCTTTGTTTATACTTTTAGTCATCCATTTTAAACCCCTCAGTGATCAGCACAGTCATTAGCCATGTATTACGATTAAGCCAATACAAGAAAGTTTTTACCTACAAATTCGTAACAGTTGATTCTTCTGAGAAGGAAAAATGGAAATGATGATCGTTTGTCCGAATTATGCAAGTTGAAATAACTAAGCAACTTATACCTCTGTACTATACAGAAACAGCGAACTAAAGTATCTGATCCATTTTTGTGTACCGTCTCCTTCTATTAACAATATTATTATTCAATTTAATTAAACAATGCTTTAGTTATAGATCAAATTTTTTTTTCCAAAGATGCATCTGTATAAGATTTTCGATTAGAAACCAACATGATTACATTAGTGATAAGACTGAAACTATACAATTACTATTTGCTAAATATTACTTCTGATATATGAGGTTCCTAAAGAAAAATGCTAAAGCATATTGTTAGCCTAGATTTATATTTCTTATTACTTTCGTGCAGTGTTTGATTCCTAACGTTCCAGTTCTGAAAACAATTTGATACATACAAATTTGTTCCTGCTTATTGTTATTTTACAGCATAACCAGTTTTTGTGTAAAGCATTGCCTCCAATCATCATTCATTTCAAGGTACACCATTCTAGCACCATCTTTTATTTGCTTTGATAAAATTATTTGTCAGCTGTTTAACTTATTAACAAGAACAATATTATTTCTACCCTTAGTTAAATATTAAATACCTAAACACTTTCATCCGTGATAATTGTCAATTTACACACTTAACAACCTTCACAAACTCACATTTGAATCAACATATTTTTACACCCTACAACACAAATTTAACCTTTGGATTACAAATGCATTGTTTCTTACAATTGCTCCATTACCAAAACAAAGCTGTACCATCTGTTATTTCTATATTTTTATTCCTTCCTGTAAATACGATGAATTCACATACATGTTTGTAAAACTTTCTGCAAATTTTATGCATACATTTTTAAAACCCGCGGCAACGTGCGGGCACAATTACTAGTGTCTACTAAAGTTTCATAATTTAAACGTGAAACCCAATCTGTCGAACAAAAGGTATTTTATCCACTTCCTTTTTTGAACTTCCGTGCTGCTATGCTTTCCTTTCTATTCTTCTGTAGTATTCTTCTTTCAGCATGCGAGCCACCAGCTACGATCTACTATTTCACTATAACCATCAACAACTTGCTTAAAAACAAACAGATGAATGAAAAGAAAGCATAAAAGAAAGAAAAAAAGGGGAACTTGCAGAGCTATTGTAGGACGAAGAGGCCCGAGATGGATATTAAAAGTTACGTAAACTTGCAGTTAATACACCAGAGAGACAAAAGGAGAATGTTATTCTCTAAATATGAAGAAATCAGAAGAGAAAAACACTATCCTTTGTATGAAAAGCTAGACCGTAGATCAAGAGAATGCATTTACTTCTATGTATAATCTCACACTTAAGAAAATTATAAAGAGTTGCACATGGTTATTTATCATAATGGTGAAAGGGAGTTAAACTCTTATATGACGGTATGAGTTCAAATCATGTCAATGGTTAATCTAACATCTAATTTAACAAAAACAGCTTTTCTGCTCCAACCCTTCTGGCCTAAATTTTTAGCTCTAGATTATTAAAGAATGAATTTAAGCTATTTTCTTTCTTAAAGTAACTTTTTTAAAAGAAAAAAATTATGTAGATTATCATAATTTAATTTTTTAAACATTTTAACCTAAAAATATTTATATTCTGACAAATATTGAAAAATCACAAACCAACACTACGAAACTCGTTAAACACTATGAAAAAAATATGAAACACATAAAAGATTTTTTTTTAATTGCTTTAGCCATTAGATTTAAATTTGAACCGTTAAATATTTTTTTTACTGTTGAATTTCATTAAATTAGATTTTAACCGTTAGATTCAATGAATGTATAAATATAAAATTAAATAAAATACACATATATGGTGGGCCAACCCCGCTAATCTTGGGCTAAATTATGGGCTAAATTTGGCTTTTGTTTAGCTTTTAGCCCACACATTTAGCATGAGTTGGGTTGAGTTGGATTTTGGGGGGGGGGGGAATAAAATCTAAAAAATAGCATTTAGCTCAGGGTTGGAGATGGTCTAGGTAACCGAATATTAGATTTACTTAGGGTTCGACAATAGCAATTATTGAACTCTAACCTTACTTACACTCCAAGCATTTTTAAATTAACCTGAAGACCTATTAGGCGTTGATAATTTCAAAGGACTTTAGAGGTCTTTTTTTATGTATAAAAAAATGACGCGTACCATGAAAACAGCAAAAATATTTAAATTAAAGGTTGCTAGCATTTCTTTAACTAATATTGATGGAGCTACATTCTTTGTATAACCAATATAGGTGAAGGGAGGTATTGGTTTTTCATTTATTTTTGTCTTTTTTTTTTTGTCAAAAACTACAAATTAAGGGCACATTTGAAAGCCTGTTATAATTTTTTTTTAGTTTATTTTGTTAGAGATAACTGAATGCGTATCATTCTTAAAAATTAAAACATGACAAAAAATTTTAAGTGAAAACTTAAAACTAGCAATTAGTCTTTTATTTAGTGGTATTTGTCTTTATTTAATCGAAAATTGACTTGAGTTTAACTCGCATGAACGACGAGTTCGATATCTAATTGTAACTAGCCTTGTAAATTGTAATAGAGCTGAAGTGTCAAATATGTCTACGTACACACGGATTCCAAAAATAACAATAACACCAATCGCAGCCACTTTATAATGCTCCTCTTTAAAATTTCAATCAACCAAAAAATAAAAACCATAAAATATTTGCTATAATTACAAACAAATACAAATACGTCAGTGACCGTAATTTAGCTCCAAAATCCAAGATAAACTCATACGTCCATCGTAGTAATAAGCAGGCCCAATAGGCCCAAGATACTCCGAAACAAAGTTTTAAAACACGGAAAGCAGAAGGGTGGCAGATAATGCAGCAATCACAAACAATGAAGGGGCAGAATGCAGGGAAGAAGAAGAAGCTGTTGCAGAAGTCGAAGCAGGAGGAGAAGCGTCGGAAGACGATGACGATGGTGATGACGGTGCGTTTCCGTCGACAGTAGTGATCTTCATCTTCATGCCTTGGTCGCAGTGGCCTGAAGTGCCGCAAGCAAAATATCGTGTGCCGGCCTTGGTCAGTTTCACCACATCACTGCCGCTAGACTTGGAGTCCAGGGCACTGCCGGTGTCGCAGCCCTTGTAGGCACTCTCGTTTGGTAGCTCCACCACACTGTGCAGCCCCGAGGAGTACTTAAAAACTGCCAAGAAAGATCAATTATATTGGTTATCACAGTATAACACTGAGCATAATGTAATTAGAATTTCATGTTGGAAGGATTAAAAAAGCATTTTCTAACGACCAAAAGAGATTTTCTATGCTTAGGTGAAAGTGCTTTTGGGTTATATAAGTGTTTCTTTCGAGAAACACTTTCCATATATGCGTTAGCACTTCCAAATACCTCTGGTTAAAAAAGCACTTGGATTTCTCATGATATTTCAACGTGATTTTTTTTATAAAAAAAGTACTTCTATAATAAAAGTGTTTATGAGCAAAAGTATTTGCAACAGAAGCAGTTTTAGACGAAGAGGTACTATAAGAAACATATTAACACTTTGTGCATGACATTCGTCCGTTGTTAAAGAACGGATTTTGTATCGATAACATGTCAATACGTACTGTTGCCAACATTATTAATCTACGAATGGTATCGATGATTTGACCATACTTTATTGAGAATCCATTAATTACCAAAGAACCGATGTCTTGTCTAGAAACGAAGTAGCAAGTAACTTACCAAGTTGGTCGCCGGCCTTGAATTTCTGGCCGGACGCCCATGAGTTCAAGTCTGTGGATTGCTCCCAGCCTTGGCTTCCCCCAACAACATGTTGTGCTGCCAAGGTTTCCTTTGTGAGCAAGGCTGCAAAAACCAACACCAACAAAACTGTGTTCGTACGCCCCATCCTCTTCTAATTTTTTGTAGCCTTAATTTGTTCTTAGCTCCTTTCACAGTCTGAGCTTTCCAATGCCTATACAACTATATATATACGCTCAATGAAAACCAATATTTATTTATAACGTTTGATTTTTTTTCTCTTAAAAAAAGGATCACTTGGTGGCTTCGCCATGTTCATCATTTCGGAATTCTGGAAGACTCACAAAGGCATTTTAGCCTTTCCTAACCACCATCGTGTGATTCACGAGCAACAATAATCAAACCAAGACTTGCCTATAATTCGTCCCTGATCATTGGGCCACTCTGTTTATTTGTAACGTTTAATGAGTTTCATAAGATGGACATTTGATTGAGGGCAGATCAATTTACCAAATTGCACCAGGAATCAGGAGGTAGTGCTGCAATCTAGATAAGGTATTTGTGTAATTCTGCAGACATAACAGGGCTGGGTTTAGGAAGTGAGATTATGTTGAGAGTCCAGAGAGTTTGGTTTGTCCGCAAAGCAAAACTAGTCGGTAGATATAATGGAAGCTTGGAGTTGAACCAAAGATATGCTGGTGATCATATTCATTAGAAGGCGTGACCGTCAGAACTCAATTTTTTATACGCAAATGTCAGAAGCTGACAGATACAAAATGAAAGAGAGTCTATTCCCTAGCTTGTGACGGTCATCATGAGTAATGACCTGGCTCGTTTGAAATGGTTTCTATTAAAACCATTTTTGTTTATAAGTGTTTTTATTAGAAATGCGTCAAAAAATTTTTATTGAAAATCCAATTGTTTTTTGAGAAAACATTTGGAAGTGCTTCAAGAAAAAGCAGTTAACATGTGATTTCTATATTGTCTATCCGTTTTCAATCTCTCATCTTAGATTCCTTGCCAACCAGAATTAGTTCACCTTTTTTTTCTTTGAGGAGCGGCAATCTGGTTTACTGGTACAACATTCGTTTAGTCAACTCATGGTAGTGCTACTAATGTCGGTGATGGACCCTTAATAGCTTCTGTGACACCAAACGCATCTATCAGAAACAATTTTAGCCTCTCTAGAAGCAATATCGGACAAATATTCAAACTCACTTGTGGGACCATCAGAAGAAACAAAACTCATGAACTCAACTGTTATCTCACCTAATTATTATTGCCTTTGGCATTAACAATTGATTGGCGAGGACTTGTTCTTTAGTTTGATCCTATAAGTGTTTCTTGCTAATATTAACAGTTGTTAAGGGAAATTCAGCTAAATATGCACAAAATTTATTCAAAATTTATGGATACTTTTTACATAAGCTCATGACCCACGTACATTGGTTAACCTTTGGGCCTCAATCTTAGTGGAAATATCAACGTTGCTGATTGAAAAATGCAGTGACTTGATTATACACAATGTCCTTGGCATTCAACCCCATGATGAAATCTGCATGTGCATAATTCTCAACGTACTGAACAGTGAGCTTCCCCGCATCATGAAGTTTTAGACCATCCAGTAAGCGCGCCACGTCGCGAGGATCGGAGAGCGCGTCTTGGCCACCGTAACTGAGGAACAGAGGAAGGTCATGGGGGATGTTGGCGAGGTTGTAAACTGGAGGGTTAAATTCGCCATAATGCATCAAGTTGTAGTCTGGTCTCCCGTAGTTGTATTTCGCCAACTTCCCACCTCGTACAGCTGCAATTTAATTTACGCCACAAGTCATAACTACTTAAAATATCTTATCGTCGATTGAATACAATTACATATCTACTATTTATGCTTGAGAATCTAATTTATGGCACAAATCTTAACTACTTAGAAGGTCTTATCGTCGATTGTATACAATCACGTATCTACACAACTTGTGACGCTCCAGAATTGAGACAACAGTTTTTGATGGGTATAATAACTTACTTTGAGCCAAGTGCACCATGTTCTTTGTGGATGTTGACTGAGGCTCATTCTCCAAGAAGAGATCAATGGTGGAAGAATTGAGACAGCAGTTTTTGCCTTAAATCAGATCAATTTAGTATGGTGATTAGCATAATTGTGTTATAGTTCTGCTAGCTGCAAGGTTGGAATGATAATAATTATAGAGATGATGAGAAAAGGCTAATTATACCAGTAACTGCTTGCAATAAGTCATAGCAGTCAACTCCTGGATAAGCACACAGAGCATCCAGATATTGAGTCTCTGGGTCCCTGCAATTAGGACAAACCAATAGTACTCGAATACCGGCATCTGATACAATTCAGTTAACGAGTTTACTATCAAGGCATTTTAGCTAAAATGATCATTGAGATTGACATAGCTTCTTACTTTGGTCCTTGACAATGAAATCGATAGAAGTGGTCCCTGAGTTTGTTCACTTTGGTTCTTCCGTTAAAAACATGTCAATGTCCTCGTTAAGTGAAGGGGTTGGTTTAACAAAAATTTACCTTAAAAGTTGGTTACATGGTTGTTCACGTGACAATTGAATGAGAAGTTCTATCGATTTTTATTATCAGAGACCAAAGTGAGGAGTTATAACAATCTCATGGATCTTTTAGGCTAAAAA